TTACTTGCACATATGTTTGCTTTATTTTGATGAAACAAGTCTATGAAACTCAGAATCATCTATTCTGCATTAAAAAAAAAAACAAAAACAAAACATCAATAGAATAGTTTTACACTCTCATGCCAAATCCATGGCAGTCCATTCGTCAGATTTCTAAAAAGAATATTTCACAGACTGACGTATTTTCCACAGGTCCTCTGAGAAATCATAATGCTACTTTTAATTTCAACAGCCTTTTGATTTCCAAAATATATTTAGGCCTCTGCAATTTTTTCTTTGCAGGAGCAGGATAAACAACATTGAATAATATTCATCACTGACTTTCTCCTCACCTTATGATTGAAACTTTTAACTACTGCACTGTGGTTTGCGGTACCAAATTCTCCTCCTGTGTTATACCAAGCTGGTTTGGTTAATAATCACCCAAAATTTACAGTGTGGAATGTCCTTTGAAGAGTAACATGTTCAGTGTCAGGTGTCTAAAAGGGCCTTTTAAATCACAAACTCATTCAATGATCATTCAAGACATGTTTTTAATACCTACACCCTGCATTGTACCAAGCACCAAGGGTGTGATTGTGAACAAGAAATACACATCCCATGACCGCATGAAACTGATATTCATTCCAACATGTAATCACGATGGTGTTGCTGTGATTGATTAAAGCAGCAAGTCTAGTTCTTTTATGAAGTGTGAGCAAGCTACAGAGTATATTATACATAAGTTACATTTCATGTTCCTTCCATGATTTGTCTCCAAATCACTTTCCTAATAGCATCTGCAATCATATTTATGCATGAAAGTTGTTCTAGCCAACTCTGGACTATTGACTTTTCCCAGACCATACCATGCCATTTCCCCAGTCGATGTATTTACTCACATTGTTTCCTTATTCAGGAATGAATTCTCTCCTCCGGGTCTCACCACCACTCCATATACCTCCACAACTCCTTTCCACCTCATCTCCATTCCTTGCAATCTTACCCAGCTGACCTAGCTTAAAAGTCATCTGAACCATTTGGACTCAACCATCTCTTTTCTGTTTTCTTATAGTGTCTTGATTGTACCACTCTTTTTAGCATTTATGGCGTCTTATTCTTTCTACAATTAACTACAAATGTCTGTCTCCCAAGTTATATTGTCCTTCAACATTTTGTTTTACATGTATAAACACTCAATAATTCTATGTTGAACAAATAAATAAATGAATAATAGTCAATGAACGAATGTGAAAGCATGCTTTTCTGAGTATCATTCTTTTATAACTTCTAGTTACTTTTGCTAAGAAATAAACATATTTAGAGTCCACTATTGCAAATAAAAGATGATCTGTCTGCCCTTTTTGAAGCAATATCCCAATATCATGTTGAAAACATCAGCAGTAGTAATGAATGGAGCAGTAATAAGTGGAAGCATCTGGTAATCCATATTTATAGAGAAATGTCAGTTGTATATTCTAAATGAGGTTGCAGTTAATAAAATTAAGGTACTAGGAGGGTCACTTGCATTCCTAGGGCTATACATGCTCTACCTCTGGTTAAAATCTGTTTTAAGCATTGCTTAAATGAGAAAAGCCAGATTGCCTAGCACATTTAGCCATTTTAATATTTTCACATTAGACAATGTTAGAGAGACAAAGAATATGAACAAAATGCTGTATATATCAAACCTTACTTTTCAATAAAGAATTTTGGAATCTTTGAAAAAAGTGAAATGCTTAATAAACCCATAAATAATACAACAGTAATTTAAAGTAAATTTACCCTTAAAATATAAGAAAAATAAATTAAGGAAAGAGGAGAAACTCAAAATGCAATGTAGTTCTGGCAGAGAAAAAGATAAATTGAAAGCATACAGAAACTAAATTACAAAGATAGTAAAGGAAAGAGAACCAATATAACAGGAGTGAAAATACAAAAGAGAAATTTCAGAATTTTCAAGGGGGTGGGGGAGGGGATTAAAAGGAAACAGGCTGATCATATTTCACAGATATCTTGAGTTGTTTAGTTAGACATTTCAAGCATAACCCCAAGGAAAAGGCTGGGAGAAGCACATATCATTAATTTATTTTTTTTGTTTGGACCAATAATGGGGAAGAAACGACTGGCTCACTCCCACACTACCCATTTCCAAGTCATATTTCTGATCATAAATGTACAGAAGTTTAACATTGTAAGAATTTTTGGAATATTATATAAATATCTGCTTTCCTCAGTTTACATTTATAATGCTTGAATACTGAGAATTCATAACACTAATCCCAAAATCATAATGGAAAAATAACTCATAATTCAAAATCTTTAAATTGCTTATTTAAAAAATCAGCATTATAATTAAAATCTATGGAATGTATGGGTGGGGGGGTCTAAAACTTGTCTATAACACTTTCAGCAAAAATATTGTGTTTCTCAATCAAGATCTGAGGTGCATGAAACCTTCACTATACTAACTCCAAAATATACTTAATTTATGACAGACAACCTCATTCCATATACAAAACCTTGGAATGACAACATTGGTTATAGTATTACTAGAGGCCCAGTGCATGAACATTCATGCACTGGAGGGGGTGCCCCTCAGGCTGGCCTGCCCCCTCTCACACTCCAGGAGCCCTCAGGAGCGGGATGCGACCCAGCAATCAGGGGAAGGAGATGCCCCATCACACCTCTGCTGCTGCCACTGCCAGCAGTGCAAGCCTCAGCCTGACCTGGTTACCTGAGCCTCAGGCGGCCACCATCTGAGGCTGCCTGTGCCTCAGGCTGGCCCTGGGTGGCTGGGGGACTGGGAGACTCTGGAGGCAGGCCCACAGAGCGGCCAGGCCCCCCTGGGGGCGAGCCTGGCCTTGCCACACACCTGCCACCCCAGCAGGGCTGAGGGACTGGGTGCTGCCATCTTATGGCTGTGGTCGCTGCCATTTTTGAGGGTGTGGCAGTCAATTGGCATATTCCCTCCTTATTGGCTGTGGGCACCACCATCTTTGCGACAGCATGAGGGTCAATTAATGTATTCCCTCTTTATTAGACAGGATTCTTGGGCTGTGAATTTGCCTACAGGTATAACAATGTTAAGTCCTGTGGCTTACAGTAATAGACTCCCTTGCAAGAGACCCAAGACAGACCCATCTTATGCTTAACTGTAGTTCAGTAAACAAAGCAAGGAGAAATGAGTGAGAGATTTTACAACTCATGTTTCTATTTCCTGATCCTGCAAAAAACTAAAAGCAGTAAAACTTAATAAGGCATGTTCTCTAATTATCATCCCTTTGAAAACTACCCTCCCTAGGGCTGACCCTAATATTTTCAGGGTGTGGGGCAAGATCACAATGTAGTCCCACATGGTAGATTTCTAAATATTTAAAAATGACTAATCAAGCTAAAATATCATTACAGAAATTATGTTTTTCCTGCTACTATGACAAATAGAATTTTAAATAAGGTCAGATTTGAATATAAAATTTTTTTCAACCCTTTGAGTGATCAAAGGCCAACAACACTCTGATTAAATTAGCCTTGGCTCCCCTGACCTTTGGATCAAATGTGCCCAGCCCCCTCTCACCACAGTCTGTAAATTCTTTTCTATTTGTCTGAAATGACTACCCTTCCACAACTTCTTTCCCTAATTACATCTTCCTAATCTTTAAGATTGTAGTTTGAATTCTCTCTCTGTTCAATACTCATCATTCAGACTCTTCTTAGTGTGTAGTGACAAACATTCATCAAAATTCTTATATAGTTACTACCTCATGCCTCATCAAGCCTCATGAAGCCATCTCTGCATTATCTAACCATTTCATCTCTAGCATCTGGCCAAGCACCCAGCACATAGTTGCTCAATAATTTCTTGTGAGCATAAGAATAACTTCTGGGGTGTCTTAAAAATGAAGATTTCTACTGACCCCTCCCATAAGTGATTCTGGAACTGTTGTCTTTGACCAAATATTATAACACTAAAAGTCCGGTGCATGAAATTTGTGCACTGGTGGGGGTGTCCCTCAGCCCAGCCTGCACCCTGTCCCATCTGGGACACCTTGGGGGATGTACGACTGCTGGTTTAGGCCCGATCCCTGCGGGATGGGGTCTAAACCGGCAGTTGGACATCTCTCTCACAATCCAGGACTGCTGGTTCCTAACCACTCACCTGCCTGCCAGCCTGATCACCCCCTAACTGCTCCCCTGCCAGCCTGATGGCCCCCAATTGCCCTCCCATGCAGGCCTGGTCCCCCCCAACTGCCCTGCCCTGCCAGCCTGATGGCCCATAACTGCCCTCCCCTGCAGGCCATCTTGTGACAATGTGGGGGCAGCCATTTTGTGATGACGTTGAGGGTGGCAATCTTGTGATGATGCAAGGGCATGAGGGTCAATTTTCAAATTACCTCTTTATTATATAGGATGTTAACACCTAACTCAATATTATTTTCTTTGTGTGTGTGTGTGTGTGTGTGACTCTTTTGTTCCATCCCCAGCCTCTCTTCCCCTATTAGTTATTATTAGAACTACTAATAATTATTAGTAGTTCTTTTGTTTGCTTACTTGGAACCTTTTAAAATATATATTCTTTGTTATTTTTAGTCAGGTTTTGAAATACAATTTACACATGGTATTACTCGTTCTGACTTAATGTATAGTTCTATTCATGTTTACAAATTATATAGTTTTGTAACCACCACCATATCAAGATATAGATCCATAGCACCTTGTATAAAGTTTCTTTTGGTCTTATTATATTACATTATTTCTGCTTGCGTACAAATTTTCAATACAAGATTAAAAACTCCTTGAGAGCAGGAACAGTACCTACTTCTTTACCTCTCCACCCTTGACAATAAATGCATATTGAGTAAATGTGTTCATAAATGGATTAACTAATTACTATACTGCACTGTCCTACAGAAACTACCTTGCACATCGTAAGTATAAAGAACATATTGGTTAAATTGAACAAAAAGCTATAATGTGTCAAAACCAGCACCACAAAAAAATACATGAAATTCAGTGCTTACCATCTCCTGTTTCTGCACAGAGTTGTAAGCCCAAATTGTTCTGTGGATTAATCACCCAATGATTGCTGGTCACAGTGATATCAAAGACAAGCCAACCCACATCTAAAGCCTGGGCCTTTCTTGTGTCTAACAAAAACAGATCTGCATCCCTGAGGAGAAAAAGAACAACAATAAAAAAAAGTTATAGGTTGGAACGAAGACCAGCATTTCCTATACTTAAGTGAAAACATTACCAAAGCACTTTTTAAAATAACAGGAGTTAATTAAAGAACAAGGGAAACAAGCAACTCAAGTGATGAGTAATAAGATACAGAACCTTTTTTACTGCTAGACTCCTAACCCAAACCTGGTGCAGATTAGTAATATCTGAAAGTAATTTTCATTTTCCTGCTCCTCACTGGCCTTTACAAATTGACTTAGTGAGCTTGATTTGGTCCCTGATAATCAGTGTTTCCAAAACCACTATCTGTAAGTAGCTCTCACTGGCAAGTTCACAGGCAAGGATTAAACTGAGTAGAGACAGAAGTGAAAGTAGCTCTACTGGTTTGGATGAATGTGGATTCCTAAAGGAATCGAGCACAGAGATAGTTTTCCATTTGTTTCTATTTTCATTATAAATTTTCCCATTTTGTTATACATATTTTTACTTCATTTTCCATTTTATATAAATTATTTTATGGATATCCAAGGTCTAAGAGTGGGTCAGAGAATGCACTATTGAATAAAGGGGTAAATTCCATGGATTGAGCAAAAAGTTTACCCTGAGTTGCTTTAATATCTTCAGCATGTGTAAGTCCCATGAGGATAGTAATAGCTATAAATATGAACTTGTATATTTTAGAAAAATCTCCACAATGCTGCTTTTACTAGCATTTACCAATCTTAACTTTAGCATTAAATTTATAAATGTATGAATATTGGTTTAATTATGATGAATTATTTTATTTATTCTTGTCTTACTATAGGCAGCCTCTAAGCTAAATGTCACATATTTCTGACATTTAATCTTTACAGATGCTCTGATGTAAAGATTGAGGCTCAGATAGGTTAATGGTAAAATATTGGCACTCCTTCAAAGCAAAATAGAAATAATTCTATTGTACATTTTTATGACCTTTTATACTGTGATGAATCTGTTAAAGAGCTTATTATTTATGTGAGGAAAAATCAGAACTATGGAATAATAAGCTATGTTAAATACTGTTTACTGCATTTGCAATCTATGTGCATCATAGAAGTCATTTCAAAGATGACTTACAATATGTACAAAGAAAATTTTGAATAAAATCATATCATGCAAATGGTAAATCTTTAGATAAAATGCTCTATAGTTAAAAATGAACCAATTTTAACAGACATGAAGAATCTCAGTCAATATTTTAGAAGCTTCATCTTCATTTCTTTATTTCAACTTGATTTATGCCATTCCCCCATTAACCTGGAGAAGATACTATGGAACTTCCATTCTCTTTCACAATTTTAATAATAGTGTTTACCAAAGAAGGGCTGCAGACACTTTCGTTATATCCCAAATGTGACTCTGTTGAAGATACCACAGACAGAGGACAGGTATGTACCACAAAACAATAAAAAGTTTCAAACAGTTCCCCACTTGAATTTTAAGAACCATAATAGAATGCCAAATTCTCCCTCTTCCTCCTAACTTAGAAAACCCACCAAATAAACAAGCTTGAAGAAAAGCTTATCTTTATAATATTGAGATATTTAGTATCTTTGAGACTATAATCTTAGGATATTGACTTAATCATATTAAGTTAATAATGAAAGTTTTAAACAAAAGAAGGAGCCATGCTATATCTTGGGAAATATCAAAGTCAAGTCTGCTTTCATTTGAAACATGTTAATAATATTCTAATAAATACTGCAAAGCTTATAACAACATTCCTTGGATATAAGTAAACCCTTGAAAAACTAATGGGTAAATTTTGACAACAGTTTCAACTAGTTAAAAATATCCTATCTAATAAAAGAGTAATATACAAATTGACCATCACTCCAACACAAAAGATGGCCACCCCCATGTGGACACAGGATGGCCAGCAGGGAAGGGCAGTTGTGGGTGATCAGGCCAGCAGGGGAGGGCAGTTGCGGGGGACCAGGCCAGCAGGGGAGGGCAGTTGGGAGCGATCAGGCTGGCAAGGGAGGGCAATTTGGGGTGACTAGGCCAGCAGGGGAGGACAGTTAGGGGCAATCAGGCCGGGAGGGGAGCAGTTAGGCATTGATCAGGGAGTGGTTAGGGGGTGATCCGGCTGGCAGGCAGAAGTGGTTAGGGGAAATCAGGCAGGCAGGCAGGCAAGCAGTTGGGAGCCAGCAGTCAGGCCTAAATGGGCAGTTGGACATCCTTCGAAGGGTCCCAGATTGGAGAGGGTGCAAGCTGGGCTAAGGGACACACCCCCCTCCCATGCATGAATTTCATGCACTGGGCCTCTAGTAATTAGATAATCATTAAGGTGGTATTTTCTATTATTTTTAAATTGTTCTACTTTTCTAGAAAAAGTAATCCCCAAACTATCTATGTTCATGTCTCAAAACTGTCAAGCATGTCTATGGGGAAAATAGTTCCAGCTGTAATAGATAAATCTAGAAAAAGCACCAATCAAAGAATTCAAGCAAGCTCTAAATATCTGAATTTCAGTGATGCAAATTCAAATTCATTGGAAGGTAAATCTAAGTAAATAGTATGCTTTGAATAATTCATATATTTGTAGTTCACCTCTGGAAGATTATAAAGGTTCGACTGCTTTCATAAGCTTCATGGTTTCCTATTCTTGACCAAAGCTACTTTATTTTTTACTTTTTTTAAATTTTAGTTTGACCACATGTATTCTTTAATTTCTCCTCTCTTATAAAAGAAGACCTTCTAAATTACCTACAGACAAGACACTATGCTTTGAGAGAATCAAGTCTATTATTAATAAGCACAATGTTAATAATTCTATAATTTTCTCTTATGTAGCAATTTTCACACAGCATCTTAAAAATCTCACAAGTTTTTTTCTTTTGAAGTATAAAATTACTTCACTAAGGAATAGCACTCATCTCACTGCAAACAGTAGACTATACTAAATATGTACTATAAAAAATATAAAGTAAACTTGTTAAAGTTGCCCTGTCTTACCATTTTTACCTGACTGTTTTTAAAGAGAGGGGAGGGTAAAATAATGAAGGGATTAAGAAGTACAAATTGGTTGTTACAGAATAGTCATGGGGATGTAAAGTACTATAATCAATAATATTCCAATAACTACCTCACAGATGGATGTGAGATTTATCAAGATGACCACTTAGTTATATAATGTCTAATTACTGGGGTATACACCTGAAATGAATATAATAATGTATTTCAACTGCAATTGAAAATAACAAAATGATAAAAGACAAAACTAATAATAATTTAAAAATAAAATTAGGGCAAAAAGAAAAAATATTAATGTATTTAAAAATTATGCAGTAGAGAGAAATTATATATGTATAATATATTCATTTATAGCAGAAGTAAATACATAATATAATTTCTTTATATTTTGTGCTATCATAAGAATGAAATTAAAGTCTACATTCTAGCCAATAAAAAGTCCATTTACATGGATGTAAATAAGCAAATATTTCATTAGTTTCCTAAGGCTGCCTTAACAAAGTACCACAGGTTAGTTGGCTTAAGAAACAAAAATTTATTGTCTCAGTTCTGGAGGATAGAAGACAAAAGTCAAGGTGTTGTCATGGTTGGTTGGTTTGAGGACCACGAGGGAATAATTTATTCCAGGCCTCTCTCCTTGGCTTATAGTCATCTTCTCCCTGTGTCTTCCTACCATCTACCCTCTACATGTGTGCCTATGTCCAAATTTCCCCCTTTTGTAAGGGAAACAAGTTAGTTCTCCAAACTTTAACACCATCACCACATGCAAAAGCAGCCGCCTTACATAAACTGTTTAAGTGGGTCCCATAATTGCAGAGTCAAGTCACTGTGGTAAATCCCTTATTCCTTTTCATTCATAACTAGAGGCCTGGTGCATGAAAATTCATGCACTGGAGGGGAGTCCCTCAGCCTGGCCTGCCCCCTCTCACAGTCTGGGAACCCTCAGGGGCAGGAGGTGACCCGGTGATCAGTGGAAGGTGACGCCACATCACATGTCTGCTGCTGCCACTGCTGGCAGTGTAAGCCTCAGCCAGCCCTGGTTACCTGAGCCTCAGGCAGCCCTGGGCGGCTGGGCAGCTGCCATCTGAGACTTGCCTGCACCTCAGGCAGGCCCTGGGCGGCTGCGGGGCTGAAGGGACTGGGGGACTCCAGAGGCAGGCTCACAGAGCAGGTGGGCCCGCCTGGGGGTGTGCCCGGCCTTGCCATGCACCTGCCACCCCTGCGGGGCTGAGGGGACTTGGCACTGCCATCTTGTGGCTGTGGGCACAGCCACCTTTGAGGGTGTGGCAGTCAATTAGCATATTTCCTCATTATTGGCTGTGGGCGCTGCCATCTTTGCAATGGCATGAGAATCAAATAGCATATTCCCTCTTACTTAGATGGGATGGCTTGATTTTTCTCATCAAACACTAACTGACAAGCTCCCTGGTATGAGTTGTATTATATCCTCCCAAAATATATGTGGAAGTCCTAATTCTTGTAAATGTGGTCTTATTTGGAAATAGGATCTTTACAGTTATAATCAAGTTAAAACCAGGTGTTAGGGTGGGTTCTAATCTAGTATGGCTACTGTCCTTATAAGAAGGAACAGATCCTTGGCCGGTTGCTCAATGGTTAGTGCAGGGCTCTGGGACCAAAGGGTACTTACCTCAGTTGCAATAAAGGGCATGTACCTCAGTTGCAGGCAACCAATCAATATGTTTCTCTCACATTGATGTCCCTCCCTCCCTCCATCCCTCCCTCTCCACTCTCTAAAAAAATAAATCAATGGAAAAAATATCCTTGAGTGAAGATTAGAGAAAAAAGCAGCAGAAAAAGACACAGAGCTAAAAAACACACCATGGAGACAGTTATATGGAAACAGAGATGAAAATTATGTTGACACAAGCCAAGGAACTTCTATGGCTACCAGAAAATGGAAGAAGCAAAAAAGAATTCTTGCTTATAGGTTTTGGAGGGATTATGGCCCTACAAACACCTTAATTTGGGACT